CTCTGTCACCGTGCCGGGGCACACCGAGTGCCCCCCTGCCCAGAAGGGTTTCCTGCGTCGCCACAAAACATTTCAACCTGTAACGAGCAATTAGTTTTTACAGCATCCCTTGTGGTTTCCACTCCCTCCAGATGCTTCTCCCCTGGGAAGCAAAACAGAGGCAGACGCACAGAGGAGAGGTGTGTGCAGCTCTGCACTTAACCGCCCGCTGCCCCGTGGCAAACACCCGGAACCAGGTACCTGCACCTAGGGCATCATCCCTGGGGCCTCAGCAGCCCAGAGTCATCCTCCTCAGGTGCCAGAGACGAGACCACGAGGACTGCGAAACTCGTGGCACATGTCAGTGGCTGCTCCTGGCCAGTCCCGGGCGCTGGCGTGTCTCGGTCTGCGCGGGCGAGGTGCCGGTGCCAGAGCAGGGGAGAAGGGACGATGCTTCGTGGTGGCCTCAGCGTCAGCCTGCGAGGGGGAAAAAGGCACTTGTGAAAGGCAGGTGGTGCGTGCCGTCTCCTGCAGGGAAGGGGAAGCCCTTGGTGTTACTCCACTAATTACCCTTTTTTAATTTGGACGCCTCTTGCATCGCCTTTGCCGCGCAGCCCAGAGGTGTCCCCTCGGACGCGCTGGGTGCAGCACATCCTCCACCCCGTGCTTGGCTGGCGAGACTGAGCTTTTGCCATTCTCCATCCCGCGTGTTCTTTCCACACAGCAGGTCCCACACAGCTGCTCACTCTGGGAATCAGTGCTTAAATCCCCCACACGAGGCAACAGGATTTGCTTCTGCAGCCAGCGGTGCTCGTGTACGTGTCCGTGGTCTTGTTCTGAACCCGGACAGGACACGTGAGGCAAGACCCTCCTGGCAGAGCTCGTGCTCTCGGGCTGGATCAACTCCTGGCGCTGGGACTGTAATTAAGTTAATCACTAGATTGCAAAAGGGCATGGGTGGGGAGGTGGGAGAGGCTGGAAGATAATTAGAAAGCGGATCATCACCTTGTTTTCCTGTCTCCCCGCCGATGCCACCAGTTTGCCGAGATGTTGCGCTGGGCGGCCCAGCTTGCAGAAGCATCTGGGCTGTCCCGGCCTCGCAGGAGCCACGCGTGGCTCTGAAGCCAAACCCCAGCTGCCTGCGCCGGACAGTCCTCACCCGTGCAGGTCTGTCCCCGCGACACTCACACCCCTCCCCAGGGCTGCCTCTGCTCGCAGAAGGGCGAGAGAGGAGCTAAAGCAGGGCCGGGATGGCATGAAATGGCCAAACCCAGCCTGACCGACCTCCTGGCCCTCCAGCGTGGCAGGGAGGGAGCCTCGGGCCGGGCAGGGCCCCTCGCGGGGTTGGGACCACTGAGGTGCGAGGGGTGCAGGGGGGGGCTGCCCGATGCTCCTGCACCTCCAGTAAGGCACTCACGGGGACCAGCGCCCCCCCGAACAGGCGTCTCCCAAGGGCTGGCAGTGCCCCACACATGTAGGGTTTCGCCTGGGGCATCCTTTGTGCACCCGAGCCAGGTGCCCTTCTCCTTCTCTAGTATGGTGGTTTAGTTTTAAATGCTGCCTCCGGTGATGATGAGCAAAGGGATGGGTTAACCCCTGCTGCAGTTATCACCGAGCACCCCCTGGACCTTCCCCCTGGGCAGGATACGAGCTTTTCTTAATCTGTCTTTACCATGATGCTCGTGGTGGTCAGCATCAGCCTCTTCTCAGCAAAGAACTTGCTCGCTCGTGCCATTAGTGATACCCACTCAGTAAACTGCTAAAAGTTTCACATTTACGCCCCTGCCTGTTTTACCTAACACAAATCCAGCGTGACCAAACCCAAATGACTGTGTTTTCTGTCGGAGAGCAGGCCACGATGACAGCAGGCACTAGTTAAATTAATTTCTCCAGGTTTGGTCACACTTCGCACCGCATATTCCCCTTACAGATGGTAACACCTGACTGATAAATATTTCATTAAACAGTTAATCACGCTGCTTAGAGATAAAATCACCTCGCCGTAAACACTGACTAGAAACAAGCCAATACATTCTGCTGATGCGCACAAAATGATCTATCACACATTTATCATATGCTTTGCCCAATCATTTGTCAATTCCTTCTAAGAGGATCCACAGCCCGAGGAATCCGAGCCGTGCCTTGCACCGCCGGCCCTCAGAGGGAGGGCAGCCCTTGCAGGCTGCCTGTGCTGATAACCCCAGACCCACGGTGCTGCAGCTCCGGGAGCAGCCAGAGCTCGAGGAAACCTCCTGCTGATCTCTAACCCTTTCCTGGATGAGGAAACCCATCCCACTCGACGGGTCGCTACAACTTTGGATGAATAAGATCCGTGTTTCTGCGAGAGGTGTTTACTCCACACGCTCAGGCAGCTCTTGGATTGCCCCAAAGCTGTACCTGTCAGCCCAGCGCTAAGCGCAGGCTGCTTCAGGAATCCCTGGGGTGGAGGAAAGACAGAGCCTGAATTCCTGAAAAATATTTCACCTGTTGTAAGTGTTTGGATTCCCATACGTAGCATCTGAACTGCCTGGGAAGCGGCTGCAGCCAAATGTGGGAATGGGAAAGGCGCCCATCAGGAGGCAAGGCTGTCTGATCTCAGCTGAGTCACGCACCCTGGAATAAATACTATTCCTGCTTTAATGGAGAAAATAACACTTTCCAAAGTGAAACCAACTGCAGTGTTTCCACTGAGCTCACCAGAGCCTGATTCAGGAGACACCAGTCTCATTAACTGAAGTCTGACAAAAGCTGAAAAGCCTCCTGGGCTTAGCTGGCCTCTCGCCTGTTGGCGTTTTCTGGATGATCTTTATCTGATCAGCTAGATGGCAATTGCGATTAGCTGCCCTTTCCATCAACACACCCAGACTTGTTGGGAAGGGGTGCTTAGCAGAAGCTAGCCACATTTCTCTCCAGTCCTATATAAAGGAATTTTATCCAAAGCTGACGACAATTTTAATGTATTTGAGTCAACCTGCAATCTTGTCTTAACCCATAGTAGGTGAGATACTTCTGGTTTCCTCCACATAGTAGCCAGGTAGTTTTATATTTAAGGAAAAAAAAAATTAGGCTCACCTTAGCTGGTCACCTCACAGCTTCAGGGGCAACCTGTGGGACAGAGGCACCCTTGGGGGACCAGCCACAGACCCCGCACCAGCTCCACCAGCCTCTGGTGCAACGTGTTTTCACAAACGTGCAGAATCGCTGCAGCTGGTCTCAGGAAAATGGATCTATTCAGGCAAGTCAGGAGGAGTCTAAAGAAAAAGGAGTGGAAAGGAAGTGTTGGAGAGATGGACAGGAAAGAAAAAGCAGAGGAATTTTAGCCGCAGGGTACGGGACTCCATCGGCCCACAGCTCCTCGCCGCTCTTGGTCCCGGTAACTTGGCAGGCTGGCGGGACGGCTCATGAGGCCACTCGCCCGTCGGGCTGGCGGAGGGACGTTTGGCCATGGTGGAAGATGCTCATCTCCCAGCTGAGAAGCAACAACTTCCCATCCTCGTGGTCTCCAGCTACTGTGTGTGTACTGAGGGGTGGCCAGAAAAGGTGTGGGATTAGCTCCCCACCGGAGCAGGGACCGCCATGGGGACCGTCCCCTGGGCAGAGGGACGTGCCCGGAATGTGCCCAGCTCTGCCGGGAGCCCCACGGAACCCAGCGGGGCTCCTCCTCGCTTGGCTCCTCTGCTGAGCCTGCTTCCGAAAACGCGGGGCACTCGCGGTGGTGACGGGGTTAGGCTCAGCTGGCCACTAAATCTGTGTCACAGGAGCCACAAAAGAGGCACAAAAGTACCCCTGAAGCCACGAACAGTCCGAGTGCGTGACCTGGCAACCCGGACACGCGAAGAACTTCCGAGCCATTAGCAATCCCCCAAGTTGCCAAACTCTCCTCAACACTGCCTTTGTAACGCCAGCGAAGGGGAAAAGAGCACGATGGAGTGAAGGCTGCGCTGATTTTAAATGGGAAGGGAAGAGGACCCCACTGCTTCCCCACGGCCCCCGGCGCGCGCTGTTATTTCAGAGCTCACGCAGAGTTCGCCAGTTATTGGCAACGTAACTGGCCCTCGATGTTCAGACCCAGATGCTTGCAGAGTTTGGGATTTCACATCAAAGCCACTGGTTTGGCCACTGCAGCAGCAGCGGTCGGTGATAAAGTTTGGAACCAAACCCAAACTTCTCAGAATTTCACAGCTATTCCGGTCCCGCGCCGGGCTCCTCGCTGCTGCATAGAGCACACACGCTGCAGCGCTCCAGCCACCAAAGTTCAGTAGGACCCGGTTTCAGGTTTAACTCTCTTTTGAAGTTGTTTATGTCTTCAGAAAGCTATTTGTGGGCTTCTGGGGTTCTGACATCTCCCTCCACAGCCCAGGAGGAAGAGCTGAGTGCCGCCAGGCTGCGGGCAGGACCCGCTGCTCCCTGCGGAGGGAGCTGAGACCACCCCGGTGATGAAGCTGTTCATCCTCAGCGGTGGTTTTCTCTTCAGGCAACACACGGGAAAGCTACAGGAGTGAAGTGGGAGGAAAGAGGAGTGCCACGAGCACAGCCAGTCTTGGACTCCCCAACTTACTCCACTTACTGTCCTAGTGCGACCGGTGGTGTCAACCGCTGGGCAGCAGCCGCCCCCCTCGTACGGCAATCTCCTCTTGGAATATTTTCCTTTCTCCGTGGGGCACCAAATAACCGCTGGAGTGTCGTGTCTCTCAGCTTCGCATCTTGGAGAGAGCTTTCTGTTCTGCTTTGAGCTATTTAATAATTTTGCTGGGCTTCTACCCAAAGAAATAAGGCCTTTTATGTTGTCTTTGGTTCAGGTTCTCTCTCTCACTCATGCTTTTTAATTCCCATAAAAACCTAATATGTTCCTGCCAAAAGTATAATAGTAGGGCCATGAGTGGTGGTGTGCGCAGAGTACCGACTCCACAGTCATAAAAGTATGAGAACAGCAATAGTACTTAGCAAGGAGAGACAATGGGAGTGGAAAATAGCGTTCATTCAGCTTCTCTTGTGGAGTCAAAGGCAGTGGGTGAGCACTGGACGCGTTCTAAAAATAGAAAAAAAAACCTTAAAGGAAACGTGAAAATGAAGAAGCCATCTCCAGTCAAGCCATGGATAAAGGCATCCGTAGATGCCCTGGGATGTGCAGACCTCGAGGTGGCCGAGGGGAGCACCCCCGCCTGCGCCTCGCTCGCACGGGCTGCAGCCTCAGTTTGCCGAGATGCCGATCGGAGCTCTTGGCTTGGGGATACCTGTTTCTCACTTCCATCCGTCATCAACCCAGGAGACTTCGGAGTGCCTTTTACCCTCAGCGAAAGGGTCAGGAAAAGCTTTACTTCCAGTAAATTACACAATACCACTGATCTCGATTAATGCTCCGTAAAGCACTAAAGCCTCGTGTACCACGCTGAGCGACGTGAAGGCTTTGGTTCAGAGACAGCTTGGCAGAGAGTCAGCATTCAAAACTGAACTACTACAAGAAACGTACGATCCCTTGACAGAAGAATTAGTTTTGCGACTAGACGCTCTGAGAAATACCTCATTTCAGCTGCCTGACAACTGTGTTAAAAAGGGATTTTGAAGCTAGACTTAGCTAGCCCATCACCTGCTTTGGAAAGCCACCAGGAACCATAAAACTCCTGAGTGCTCGGGCGTTGCTTCACCAACCTCATCGCAGGATTCCAGGTTGTCTCCTGCAGAAAGTATTTCCCCAAAACCCTGTCTGTGTCGAGTGGGGAATCTGTGAGAGAGTTTGAGCGCTCGGGAGCTCAGCTGGACTCAGCTTCTGTGCGATTCAGGAGCAGAAGCATCAGCAGAGGCGCTTGTAAAACTTGGTCAGACTTCCTGGGAAAAAAAAAAAACTTGATACTTTGGGCTTTGCAAACAGCTCCGGAGCAAAAGCGAGCTTTGGGGAGATGCACGATACGGCGAGGAACTGGCCTGGGGATGATTTTTAAACTCAGATCAGAACCAAAACATCTTCCAGTGCAAAAGAGACGAGGAGGCGCTGGGCTGTGAGAAAGCAACACCTGGTGGGCGTTGGTCCAGCAAACATGACTTATCAAAAAGGTCTAAATGGTTCTGGAGAAAGGGCAGCAGGAAAAAGTTTAAAATAATTTGCCCCTGCGTTCTGACTGTGCGTTCAGCTGTTGTGTTCGGGATTTAATACCTCCATCTGCAGCAAAACCCGGGCTGACGGGAGGAAAGCGGAACTGTCACAAACCAACAGCTGCCAGAGGGAGCTGAGGCCTGCGGTGCCAGGGGATAGGTTTTTCTTTACGGTCGTGTTTTCCTCTCCCAGGAGATCTCTGTTCTGACGGAGACCCCAAGGGGACACGTCTGAGAGTAAGTCGACCTACTGCCCAAAGCTGGCTGGGTGCATTTTCTACAGGAGCGATGAAATCTTTATTCCTGAGGCTTCAGCTTTTAGCAATCCAACTTGCAGAAGTTCTCGTTGTCCGCAGGCTTTTGGGATCCACACGAAGGAGCAGTTTCCCCGCCCTGCGGCTGCCTTTGCAAATTTAAACGCTCAGGAGTTTACAGCCAAATGCTTAGAGATGCTATGGGGGGGTGTTGCGGAGTTGCAGTCCTTCCTGTCTCCCAGGTCACTAAGAACCATGACACGGCGTGAGACTGGCTCCATCCTAATGTACCAGTAGCACAACTCGGTGCCAAAGAGACATTTTTACAATCCATAAATATATATATATGTATTAAAACAGTGACTTAATGATATTTTCCATAATATAGCGCTGGGAATACGTGACATTTAAAGTAATTTCCTGTATCTGGGTTTATACGGTGCCCTGTCTTTTCCTGTTCATAAATCCACCCCTCCATAAGCCCTGTGCAACTTTGAATACGAAAGGCAGCACATCCGCGGGAGATTTTTAAATGTAGTTCCTAGGCTAGAAGCATTCAGATAAATCAGAATATACCTGGAATACGTGTGGGGCTTTGGTGCCCACCCGCGCCCGGCCATGGCACCTGCAGGTCCCGCGGCTGCAGCGGCACTGCTCACCCTCGACATTCGCAGCGGCTCTCTCTTATCGGTCTGAGGATGCCTCCAGGTTTTGGCACGGCCTCTGCCTAAACGCGGGTCGCGACCACACGGTCTCCTGCAAAAAGAGGTTTCAGTGTGATCTCCGTGCGTCCCCCGCGAGCACAGCGGGAAGAACTCGCATGAGACGGAGCTTGTTGCTCCGCAGCAGCTGGTCGTGCCCCGTGCCCGGTTACACCCTTGGGCTTTGCCTGTCCTTCTACTGAGATGCGAGCGTGCACACCACGGTATAACCCAGACTCAGAGTTCCTTTTTTTCCATACACTATTGACCCGTGTACGGGTGAATCCCCTGCTTACTGCCCAGGTAGTAGCAGCCTCCTGCCCCCCGCTCATCTCCCACAATATCAGACGTTTGTTCTGGTCGTGTGTGTGCCCTGGCCAGGTGAGGTGCAGCGTGCCAAGAGATGAAGCAATATTTGCTATCTGGCACGCAGTACGTGTCGCAATACCTAGTCATAATCGTGTTTGAAAGTTATAATAGTGGAGAGAGTTATTAACCTGGGCTCCCTTCCTGCCTCTTGTGGGTTTCAATCAGACACTGGGTGTTTTTCTGACTTTTTTTTTTTTTGAGTGTGTAATTTTAGTACGTACGTCAATAGAAAGCAGAAAGAAAACAGAATTTACTATGATAAAATTAAAAGGACAGAGTCCCTACCAGCCAGCTACACCCAGTGAGGAGACGACCCCCCCCTCACCTCCCACGCCAGGGAGCATCACCTCTGGGGCTGTGTCACTGCCGGAGCCATCAGCCACGGCGTGAATCACCTGCAGCCGCCCGGCTACCGGCCGGGACCACCGGGCTCCCTCCCCTCCCTTTAAAACCCGGCAGCAGCAGCGTGTGCCGAGCACTCGGCCGCACCAGCCCTGCCCTACAGCCCCGCATCTCTTGCAGCCCGGCTGCCGGGAGAGGCTGAGAGATGGCCGAGGGGGAGATCTCCACCTTCACCGCCCTGACCGAAAGGTTCAACCTTCCCCTGGGGAACTACAAGAAACCCAAACTCCTGTACTGCAGCAACGGGGGCCACTTCCTACGGATCCTCCCAGACGGCAAAGTGGACGGCACCAGGGACCGAAGCGACCAGCACAGTAAGCAAACCCGACGGGGCTTCTTGGTGCTCCACCTTGTTCCTATCGGTTTTTTATCATCCTTTATCAGCCAGGAAGGGGGGAGCTGGAGGAGACAGGCTCTGTACCAGGCTCTCACATTTCTCCTGGTGGCAACACACCTCCCAGGAGGTCAGCACACCCCCAGCCCGCACGCAGAGCCCGGGGAGGCGCGGTGTGGGTGCTATTTCACATCTGCAGAAGTAGTAAATCTGAAACCGGTTATCCAAACAATCGCAGGCAGGCCGGCCACACAGGACAGGAGCTCATCGCAGCACGGCTGGCTCACACAGCAAGCTGGCAGCAGGGAAAAAAGGCTTAGGAGCAGCCCCACATCCTACACACACGCAGCCACCACACGTAATTCTGTGGTATCTTTGCATTTGCTCTGGGTTAGGAGAAGCAGCACAATAGCAGGGCTGCGCGGACGCGGTGTTTCCCCACAGCTCTGCATCTTCGGCCGAGAAGTCGTCAGCTGGGGCGGGAGGTCGGGCCCACGTCCCTCTGCGTGCAGAACGGATTTTATCTGCGCGTTCTGCACACAGTGTCCCCTCGCCTTTGGGGAACCTCCCTCTCCCCTCATGCAGCAAATTAAACCCCTGCAGGATTCAAAACCCAAGGGAGGCAAGAATCAGGTGAAAAAGTTATGTTGTGACTTAGGGCTTTAGAAATGCCCTCGTGTTACCATTCACTTTTCCCCTGAAAACGGGGGTGGCCTATTGCATGCTGGAACAGTTATAATATATTTTTCACATGCATCTGTGTGTCACAAAGATTTAATGGGCGGGCACAGCCGGAGCCTCCTCTCGCCTGTCCCCCTTCCCTGCAGTCGGTGATGCCGGTGGCTCCAGCCCACGGGACCCTGGGGACCTGCTGCTGGGATGAACTGGCCACGCAGATGCCAACACCTGTCCGGCCGTTTGCGCATCCCACTGCCCTTCTAGGAGCACGTTTGTTCTCCAGAATTGGCATCAAAGTTTACCCGAGGAAGCTGGCAGGACTCACTTGCCAAAAGTGCTGGTTTTGTAAATGCTACTAGAAAGTGCCGCGGACTCTCTGACACGGAGCAAACCTTAACATGAAACAGTCATAACATTATCCAGTACAGCGAGGAAAGGTGCATGGTTGTCCTCTTCAGTCCATGTCACCAAGAGCTCCTTCCCTGCCAGCCACGTGCAGGGCCCAAGCCAAGCCGCGGTGCTGAGCCTCCTCCTGCTCTGCCCAAGCCACGACACCGTTAGATGAGCACCGAGTACCTGCCCCGACACCAGGGAGCCCCTTGGCCTCAGCGCCTCTCCCTGCAGAGCCCGGCCAAGCCCTCAGCAGCGACCAGGGGGGCTGCCCAGAGCAACCCCCCCGGCAAACCCCTTAGACAAAAGAGGGAATGGCTGAGCAAGGACAAAGGCACAAAATCCGAAGAATCCGTTGGGAAGTTTTAAGCTTTTAGGGCTCTAACACTTCCAAAATGCTTGAGAGGATTTTTTTAAACTGACGCCTGTGGAGAGCTGGACCGGCAGCGCAGCAAAGCTCCCCATGGGCTCTGCGGGCGGCGGGGCCAGGCTCTTCCCCACCACCACACACCGGAGCTCTCGGTTCTCAGCGGAAACCTCCGGGTACACCATATCCTGAACGTTTACTGGAATATAACTGGGACCTGCCAGGCTCCTATCTGGTTAGAAAGAAAGGCTGGGAGGAGCCAAGTCCGCCTTACAAAGTGCTAAGAAAAGCACTTTTATTTTCTCTAAACCACAAGAGTACATGTGGCTTTCTCCCCCAAACTTAACCTTTCTTCTTGTTGTTGTTTTAATGAAAGGCAGTTTATAGCAGAGTTTTAATTATAAACACTGTTTCCCCACCACTCGCACAGCACGCGGGAGCGCTCCGGGATGGGCGAGGATGAGTTCACCAAGGCTGGATAAACACAGCGCGAGGCAGGCGCCCTCCAGCCTGGAATAAACCGGGTCCTAACCCTCCTTAAACCTCTGTGAGAGGCAGGCGAGGACGCTGACCTAAAGGAATCCACAGAGGACAGCACGGGGCTCACAGGACCCCCAGACTGGGCTCAGGAGCCAGCTGGGGGATGCGGAGATACCCTGTGCCCTGGGGAGCGAGGCGGCATCTCCTGGGACACGGGGTGCTGCCGAGGACACGAGTGCCCAGCCCCTGCACCCCAGCCTTGAGCCCGCTGTCTCTCCAGCGGTCCCCACAGCCACAGCAGGCAGAGAGGCAGCGAGCGCAGGCAGCGTTCCTGCACATGGCACCCACTGCGCCCCGGCACGCTCGCACCTCGCCGGCTGCTGGCCTGGGGCCACGTGTGTGGAAACCTCTGCCAGAAAGGAACCTCCTGTAAATGATCGCGTAAACTTGGACATCCGAATGTACAAATATTTACAGAGAAAACTCCTGGAAGGGCTGCGTGCCAGCAGAGCCCTGACGGCGAGGTACCCTGCCTCCGAGCGCCGCCGCCTCCCGCCGTCCTGCCCCGGTGCCCTGCAAGCGCCGG